TACTTTTCATTTTAGTTTAGAAAAAAAGCTAAGTATTCTTGTTGTACTAAGAAAATAAGAATCTAAATATTCTTACAATTTAAAGAAAATAAAAATGACTATAAATAATGAGGTGATGAACAGGGACAACAAGACAAGACCCTAGAAATGTCCAAAACAAATAGCCAATTAATTACATAAATCAAGCTTACTTTTTTTTATTATTATTTTTTTTTCTTATGAGACCTAGTTTTTCTTTGTTTAATTTTTTACCTTTTTAGAAATTCTTTTAAGTTCTTACGCAGATTAGAGAAAACAATGAATTTAAACTGTACTCATTTTAGTTCATTTTTTAAAAAATAATTTACATTTTCTTTTTCCAAAAAAAAAAAGCATGATTTATAAAAATAAAAAAACAAACCTTAGGTAATTCAAATATCATCTAAAGACAAATACATCTCGTCCAAATATGAAAGTTCACTTTCATTATCTTCATCTTCTTCATAACTAAAGATACTCCTTTCACCATTCTCTTTAGCTTCGAAAACTCGACATAGAACCCATAATCCAAAGTCCTGTTCAAGAAACGATAACAAATAAAAAAAATTACTACAAAGCAATTTATATATATTAATTATAAATAGAGAGTATCTCTCCTTTCTTGTTTTTCATTTCTCGATCTTAGAATTTAAGGGACTAGTAACGTTTTATATTTCTCCATTTTTATCGATGTTTCATTTAAGTATATATACACAAATTATTACAAACAAAAAAAATTGATTCCTTCGTTCCTATTTTGAAATTTTCAAAAAATCTAAAATTTACCTATAAACTTGACCGCATTGAATCTTCGATTTTGATAAATGTTGCAATTTGTACCTAGGTTCAATTTTCAATATTCGGCTCTCTAACATTAACAAGTAATGTAAAAATCTCCAACAACTCAATGATTCCAATGTAATCAAACTTTTGTGCATTGATCATTTAATGAATCTCAAAACTCAACAAACATTAGCTCTAATATCACCTTTCAAGAAATTATGTTGATTTCATACCAAACATATGTGCTTTTTAATTCATCGAGTGCCCATTAGAATAATTATTTTTAATGGTTCAAATTAAAAACAATTGCAACATTTTTTCAAATTTATTATGAAGATTGCAATGCTTATCTATATTTATAGTGAAATTTGACGAAATGAAAAGTTTAGGGTAAAAATTAATACACACCTCAAGGTAAAAATTAATATTCTCCCTAAATTTTATATCTGTATTACATATTTGATATTTTAAAAATTCATAAAAATAACACAACTATTTATATTTTTTTTAAGAAAAAACATACATTTTTAACTTTTTATTTTAGATGTGTTTTTGAGTGGTGGTAAGAATTAGTGATTTAGAATAAATAGATTTAAGTATAATTGATTTTTCAAAATACCTTCCAAGTCATACCTTAAAAATCAATTTAAAGTGATTTTAAGTTTTCCTAAAATCATTTTCTAATTTGTCAAGCATGATCAATAGAGAGAAGTGATTTTGACAATGGCAAAAGTGATTTTGGCCAGACACACCCTTATACTTTTTCTAAAATCAATTTTTGAATTTGCCAGACATATCGATGAAGAAGGGAGTGATTTTGACAACCCAAAAGTTATTTTGGTGGTGCCAAAATCACTCCCAAACACACTCCCAAAAGTACTTTTATTGGAAATCTATCCATATAATCTAATGTTTTTTTAATCCCAAACTTAAAATATATATATATATATATAATGAATTGAAAGATCTTACTGATTTAGTTTTTGGTAGAACATTTTGAGATGGGCCATGGGTGCTCAAAAGGTAGGTGTAAATGCGATACTCTTGCATCACCCAATTGGTCTGAATGGCTGCTTTTGTTGGGCCATCTCTAACAAAGAAAATATGATACTTTTTTATTCCCACTTCGTCTCCACTGCCACTGCACACTATTGGCTCATCCATTAAAACATCCTTCCAATATCCATTCTCTGTTGCTGATCTACTTTCCAATTCTGTCACTGTGCTGAAAAAGTAATGGACATTGGCCCCATTTGAAAGTGCCTTCCCTGCAAAATAAAAAATAAATAGTAATCCTATTTTAAAGTCACCGGAACTCAAAAGCTTAAACTTTATCATCCGGTTCGCTAAATTTAATCCTTGACACCCTTTGTCGAAAAGAATATATGTGTTATGGATGCTATGCAATGGGGTCGTGGCTATTGCGAATGGGATCGGAGCTTTCATGTACTAGCAGACTCAAGAAAATTAGGGTTTATTTGGTAAAGTTTATGTTTATTATTTCGCGTCTTCACCTTGTCAATTAAGACAAACAGAATTGTTTCTTGTTTCTTTTTTTTTATATGAAAAAAAAAAGAGTAGAAACCATTTATTTTTCTTAGTTTCTGAAATTTTAAATTAGGAAAAGTATAAGTTTTATATGAAAAATTATTTTTTAATTAATATTTAAAGTTTTTGTGTTAATTTTTTTTATATTTATTGCACATTTTATAAATAAAAATATTATAAAATAATGCTTTTATCTATGTTTTGGAAAATAAAGAACAAGAAACAAGAAATATGATTTTGTTGTTTTCAAAATTTCTACACAATTTTAGAAATGTTTCTTAAAAATGAAAAACGAGAAACAAAAATAGTAACAAAGTACTTATATTTCATAGATATTGAAAATGAGAAACAAAAAACAAAAAAACAAAAAAACGGTAACATTATAATTTCATCATAATTTCTTTTGTATCTTTATTATGTTTCTTAAAAGCACATTTGAACTCTAAGTCAAAGTTTAAAAACAATAGCAAACTTTTCATAAACTTTCTTTTCCGTTTCCAAAATTTAACTTAGATTGGTATCAAAAACGTTTCTAAACAATCGTTAACAACATAAAGTTGAATTCTTAAAAAATATAAAACTAAAAACAAATTAGTTATCAAATGAAACCTACATCATTATATCTTTAAGTTATTATTGACCATAGTCCAACCGAATCAATTCTCAAATCTCAATGCATAAATTCTTGTTAGAATTGATGATATAATAGTCTATAGTAGTATCAATTGTCGTTAACACTATCAAAACCGTCATAGTTATTCACACTAGATCTACAAGGCTAGAGTAAATATATATATATATAGAGAGAGAGAGAGAGAGAGAGAGATTACCATGGAACTGCCAAGGGTTATAGAGATGAAGCTGAAGATGAGGAATGAAGGAAATGGAAAAATGATCTGTTGGGGAGAGAGAAGCCTTATGATAGAGAAAGTGAAGAACAAGATCTTCATCAGAAGGGCAGAATCTGAGGCCAGGAGGCAAAAAACTTACCCTATTTCCACTATTGGCTTCCATTTACAAATCAAGCTTCAAGAATATTTAAAGCTATGAAAATGGCAGCCCCCTTTGTCCTATTTATATATAGAGATCATATGACACACAAAAATTCAACTAAATTAAATTAAATTAGAGGGTAAGTTATATGTCTTGTTTTGATTTTAAAATCATCCATTTCCAACCATGCTTCCTGACCCACACTTTTGGAGAAAAAACAAAAGAAAAAACAAAAGTGATGTTGTGTTTTGTTCTATTTCAAAAGGGGCACACAAGGAAAAAGAAATAAATAAATAAATAAAGAACAGTATGGATTTATTTTAATTTATTGATAAGTATCACATAAATTAGAGAATGTGGATAAGATTGTAAGGAACAGGACAATATCTCTACTAATACGAAGAGATCTAGGGTCTTAAAATTAATGACATCACTTTTTTTTTTAGTACAATTTATGAGGTGGGGATCAAACTCACAACCTTGATTGGAGATCATATATGTCAATTTTTACTGCACTATACTCATTTTGGCAATAATGTCTATCTGTAAGATATTTTTGATATAGTCTGGAAACAATGATAGCAACTCCACACATTTCAGAAAGGATAAAAATTATTGGGAGCGTATCTATCCACACTCTCCCTACACAGTTGAGTCTCTAAAAAAAGACTGGCTAGCGATTGCTCTTATATGAAAAACTTATGTTGATTTTACCCCTTTGTTGTAAGGCAATTAAGGAGTTTAGTCGAGATGAGCTAGAAGTCTTTACCATCGTTTTATAGGCCATGTGGAATAAACGGAATAATCTAATCTTCAATAAATATCAGAGTTCAATTGATGAGCCCATTGTACGTGCACTTAACTATGTTAAAGAATGGGAAAGCTACACTACTAGAAATCACCTTTTTCCCGGTGAAACATTGGGAAAAGTCTAAAAAATGTTAGGCAAAGTTTTTCTAGCAATTTTTTTGGGTCATGAAATTTGTTAGGGGATAGGATCGTCGGGAGAACCCCATGTCGACGAAAAAACTCAAAACGTCGGGATTTATCCCAACTTTTTATAAAAAGTGTTGGGAAATGTGGCCTATCCTATCTGTAAAGTCGATAGATCACATTAAAACCATCTTCGAAAAATTGAAATTGATATTAAACAAAATATATTTTTACAAATTTTTTGGGTTCAAAAAGAAGAATTAGAACGATTCAATGAGCAGAAATGAGATTTCTTCTCAAAACCAATTGACAATGGGAGGAGTAGTATATGTCTATTATAAACCTATGTAAGGTCTCTTTTTTATCAACGTGGGATCCTTAACACCTAATATACTATGTTTTAAGCAATTTCAATATTTAAAATAGTATTAGAGAAGCAACAGATGGTTATACCTCTCTAGTTTAGCAACATTTTGAAATTGTCCTAACATAACATACAAGGTTTAATACATGCTCTCTATATTGCACAATAAGTCAACATATCCATAATACATTTTAAACATGTATTGAGAACCATATATCTTTCATTGATACACTTTAGACAAATTAGAAGTTTGAAGAATCAAAGAAAATAAGGATACAAGCTGGTAAAAGCATATATAAACATATACTAGAGTGAGTTTGACAACACTGAAATTGAAAATAACACTCTATTGGACGATGGAGCATAGTTTAAGGTGTAGGAAAGTGAGCGAGCCTCCCGATTAACCAACTTACAAGCTGAACCTAGAAACAATGCTACTTGAGGAAAGGGTAGGTATTTTGGAATAATCATTCGTGACGCGGACCAATAACTTTTATTAACTGCAAAAAGAGCTATACATCTTAAGAGGTATTAAGCTTGCAGAAACAATGACTCTAAATGAGAGGATAATTTTAGCAATTGAGGTTGGAATTCAACCTCTTTCGATTGAAACTTATTTCAAAGTGGTGTGGAACTTATCAATGGAAATGGAAAAGATAGATTTGATAATTAAACTCATTTTACCAGGGATGATATAAGAATGAAATGCAGAAATAGGGAGTACAAGGAATCACTCTTATAAAACCCTAAAAATTTTAAAGTAAATTAATTTCTGTTGATATATATTGATACTTTTGGTAGAGTAGAAAAGAAAATAGAATACAACGTAAATAGTACGTGTACTAAATATTATAGAAATATGATAATGCAAATTATTGGAGGAGACCGCTAAATGTGGCAAATAATTTTACACCATTGACGTGTATGACATAGAAATTACAAAAATATATTTCGAATATGAATCCAATGACTATTAAGGATATACAAATTTCAAATCTGCATCTCCAACCTTTATTAGAACAACATTTAATAATTTTTCAATTAAGAGTCCAAAAATAAATATAATTCTATGAAGGTATACCAATTTCAAATCTACTCACTTTTTAAGTTCATCTATTAATTCTTAGAGCGAAGTAGATTAGAATGGATTGAAAAAAGATCCTAAGATTTTTAAAGATCAACCTTTAATGGTTAGGTTAATGATGTGAAAGTTTTGATGAAATTGCTTTTTGGGAGGAGTGAGAAAGCAATTTATGGTATTTAATGAAGCTTAAAGGGTAGCTTTGTAATATTGATGAAATGGGAAAGGGGTAATCAAATCTGATAAAACATATTGTTTCGAAAATAATAATAATAATAATAATAAAATCTGATAAAACATAAAGGAAAGAGTGCTATTGATAAACTGGCTAATCATTTTGTCTAATTTTTATTTTATCCATACATAATTACTTCTAAATCCTCTTTGACTTGTTCAATTTTTATAATGCAGCTAGTAGTGAGCAAAAGGAGTGACCAATTTAAGTAGATTTAATTGTCAATTCATTGTTTTTACTCATAATTAGCTATTTTAAAAGCAATATGTTTAATTTTTCAAAGCTAATAGAGTTTAACCATATTTAAAATGGAGATTCCAACTTTATATATATTTTTAAAATATATACTTTTAGTCCATCGAGTTAAACTTAACATTTGGAACCGATTCAAATTTTCTATATATTTTTTAAAATATATTTTTAATCTGTTGAGTTATGTTTAAGTTGGAGAAGTTGTTCATTGAGAAAAGATTGGAATCAATTAGGAATGCACTTTCTATTGTCCTAATGATATATAT